GTTCCCTAGAAAAGTATACAAGGTGGACACACACTAGAGAATGGACCTTTGTGGCCAGAGGTGCCATCTTGTACACAGCACACACGTGACATTGTAAAGTCGGGAGATCAAGCCCAGCATGGCACAGCTGCAATGGTCAGTGGCTCCTCCTTTCTCTAGCTCAAAAGAAGCCCACGCCACACTCTGCTTCCTCCAGCCCCTCAACATTGAGGGGGCCTGAGCCCCTGCCAAATGATATTGAGGGAGAACAGTCAGTGCTGGTAAACCAGCTGGATCTGAAAAAGAATCTCTACACTACTGAGGCAACCTGGGCCTCAGTGACGGGGTCAAATCAAGGAGTACCCCCAGACAACTTACCTGATCATTCAGGTGGACTGGAACCCCATCTAGAACAGGCTGCCTTCCTATTTCCTGGATTGGGAAACCACCACTTCAGAGCACCTCCTTCTCTTCTAGATTCAGCTTCCTCCAACTCTTTACTGCCTCCAGTAACTGACCTTTTTATTAGTGGTAATATTGTCCTCTTCTGTCACACCATATCTGACTATGCTCTCTTCCCTAACAGAGATAGCTTTCAGACTAGAATTCTTTAGTGCTCCTAAACTGAAGCATTACTTTTCCACAATTAGCCAAGAGTGGAATTAAAATAGAGATTCCGCACAGCACTTAATACAATGTTATATTACTGAGCAGTGCCTTTTCTCCATGGGCAAGATCTCTCTAGAATGTTTAGCCACAAGGAAGGCCCATTCAGCAAATATTCTTTCGGATGTTAATTAAAACCCTGCTTGTTTTATTGGTTCCTGTTGAGTGTGGCAGTGAGATTGCTAGTAAATATTGTGTCAATTGCCCCTTGAATAATCTCTCTTGATCACCTCAGCGTCAGCTTCTGTTTTCACTGGAAGGAGAGGCTTTAATTACTGTTTGCCTCTCATTGCTATTTTTTGTTCACTTTTATAGCAAAATGGAGCTATAAAATGAATGGGGGTGGGGAATATGGACGGAACAGAAACTGACATTGGTGGGGAAGCACCCCATTTGGCCTAATGGACTAGCCACCACTGTTGGAAATCCTGTGCAATGCTAAATTTTGGAAGACACTGTGCTGATGTTGTTGGTGGCAAGGAAAAATAAAATACCGTAGGTATGAAAGGATACTACTTGGATGCTAAGAGTTTGGGGCAAATATTCTTTGGTGTACTTGGTGTATTTGGTGTACAAGGGACGCGGGTGGCGCTGTGGGTTAAATCACAGAGCCTAGGACTTGCCGATCAGAAGGCTGGCGGTTCGAATCCCCGCGACGGGGTGAGCTCCCGTTGCTCGGTCCCTGTTCCTGCCAACCTAGCAGTTCAAAAGCATGTAAAAGTGCAAGTAGATAAATAGGTACCGCTCCGGCGGGAAGGTAAACGGCGTTTCCATGCGCTGCTCTGGTTCACCAGAAAGCGGCTTAGTCATGCTGGCCACATGACCCGGAAGCTATACGCCGGCTCCCTCGGCCAATAAAGCGAGATGAGCACCGCAACCCCAGAGTCGGTCACAACTGGACCTTTACCTTTACTCTTTGGTGAGAGAACCCCAGCAGAGATTTAAAATCACAATATATGCAGCAAAGTAAAGCATGGAAATAGAGGCTGTTAGACCTTTAAAATATGCCTTTCTAAGATCTTTCCAACGTTCTCCTCTTCCTATAGCATAGAAAAAGACCACACATTTGGGAAGTAAAAAAAAATTGGTTTACTTGCAAACTCTCCAAAAGGTCAGCTTCATGTGCTTTTCCATGCATCAATCAGAAAACTCAGACAGTAGAACTTGGCTTAGTTACAGTGGATAAAGTTCTGAAATTATTGGTATAGGAACTCAAAAGAAGCTTGTTAGAGCCATGAGGTCTGAGCCTGAAGTAACCAGCTCAGACTTCTTTACACACTGAGCTTCTCAGGTAGACTCAGGTACACTAGGCTTGATTACTTTCCTCCCAAGGTAGGGAGCAGTGACCTAGCTAAGCCTGGCAGGACAGCCTTACTCTATGGCTTTAACTCCTTTATGCATGTTGGTTATATGAGGCTGTTACACAGATGTAACAGAAGTCCCATTTTGCTCAGTTAGCTTTACTTCCAAGTAAGAGTGCAGAGGATTGAAGTTCCAGTACTGGGGCAATAAAGTAGCAACCCATCTATTCTCTTTTTTTGGAGTCTCATTCACACCCACTGAAACCACAGGAATATGAGGATAGCAAGCTTATAGCCTAAATGGCCTTCCCAACATTGCAGGACGCGTCAATTCCTTTGGCAGAGATTTGCAAGGCAGACGGCTTGCTTGGTATATTTTGCAGATTTCCGAGAACATAAAGCGTGCTACCGCCATATGCCATTTAATCCCCGCAGATATAAATGTGTCCCGTCTGCTTTCGTTCCTTAGTGAAGTCAGCATTATGGCATTTGCCAACAACAGCAAGCACTTGTATAAAATATACTTAACACCGAGTTTAGAACACAAAAAGCGGCAATATATATGCTTTCCGAAATGATACAGCTCTGATACCAGTTTCATCAGATCTCTCCAAAGTGTCTTGCTCTGTATTTCAGTATTCCTCATCTTTGGGCATCCTGTTTACTTATGGAAGCAATCTGTTTTGATACAACCTTCATACTTATTTCTTTGTTAAATCTAACATTCAGGTCCCGCTGGGTGTTTATGGAGCAACAACCAACCAAATTTATTTCTGGATACCAAAGCCTCAATATTTGGCAAAGCAAAAGCTGGTCTGACTGAGAACTGATTCTCAGGTCACCTGAGGCTACTACTAAAGGCACAGGTCCAATGCAGATGACATGGACAATAACACAACGCCCACCCCCTGCAAAAAAGCGGGGGGATAACACAGGATGTTATATAGAAAGAAGAAGAGTGGAAAAATGTGACGGGAATATGCTTCAGCTACTCTAGTGCAGAGGGTTGTTAACTGCCAGGGAAAAAAACTTGTGATATAAATCAAAATGCACACCAGTATTACAATCCCTGAATTACCTGCAGAATAGGCTGCAATACAGAATGTGCCAGTTTTCTTTCTCCCAGGTGAATGATTACCTTCCATGAAGACTTCCAAGTTGATTAACAATATGGAAGACAGCAACTTCCCTCAGATAAAAGCTAAAATATATTAGCAATTCCTTTAGATTAGGAGTCACGTCTTTAGCACAAGGGCAAATCCACCTTGTACATCTGTTTCAGTTTTATCACAGCTCAACTAGCATTCGGTGTCGCCTTAAGGGTTCGGAGAATTGTAGTTGGGGCCGAGTGCTGGGAATTCTCTCCTAAGGGACAGGAAACGATGATTAACCGTGCAATCCTAAATGTGTCTAATCAGAAGTAAGTCCTATGAGTTCAACGGGACTTATTCCCAGGTAAGCGTGTATATTCTACATCAGTTGTTTAGAGCATAATAATGTTGATAATGCCAAGGTTGCAGGTTCCATCCCTATATGGCACAGCTGCATCTTCCTGCATTGCAGGGGGTTGGACTAGATGATCCTCAGGGTCCCTTCCAATTCTACAATCCTATGATTCTATGATAGTCGTAGTGGCTCTGCACCCACTGTGACCAAACTGGTCATGCTCCCCAAAATCTGCCTCTGCCTAAGTAAGTCTCCAGTCAAGATGATAGGTAAGTCAGGGCAGATGGAGTCCTGATTCTCAAGCACATGTGTAATAAGATCTCATTGTAGGTTCTTGGCTGTGACAGTGGGAGTGGGAGGGATATACACATTGAACAATAACATTTCCTGGCTGTCTAGCACTATCTTCGTTACTAGTAATTTACAGCTAGAATTTGTCGACAGGATATGTTCACTTTTTATATGGGGAGCCACTAGGGTTAACAATCCACCCGAAGGCCTATCTTTCTTGTGGCTTTTGGTTGCCGGAACAGAAAATTATTATTAATTATTATTATTATTATTATTATTATTATTATTATTATACCCCGCCCATCTGGCTGGCCTTCCCCAGCCACTCTGGGTGGCTTCCAACAGAATATGAAAATACAATAAGCTATTAAACATTAAAAGCTTCCCTAAACAGGGCTGCCTTCAGATGTCTTCTAAAAGTCTGGTAGTTGTTGTTCTCTTTGACATCTGGTGGGAGGGCGTTCCACTACCGAGGCATTAAAAAAGGCATTAAAGCCTGCAAATTTGATGTGACGTGACGACCAGGTTTCTTGTAAACAGGCTATATCATGTGCCCTTATTAACTTTGTGAAATCAGGGAGACAAAGCTTAGAAAACCACCCTGCCAGCCTAAGTAAGTGAGGTTAGGACTGCAGCCTTAATTACGGTAGTTTTTGTATTGTTGACTGGCCCAGTTTTCTGGCACCAGGCTTATCCAGAAATAGTCAAGGTTAACCATTGTATTTAACAGAAAAGCAAAATATGATGATGTGAAGGACTGTCGGTGTGTATAAGGAACATAGCCGAAAGTTGTTACTTGCAAGCTACTATGCAAATGCAAAGCTTTTTCTTTTTTTTTCCAAATCTCCTTGCATGCATTCAGAGTTGGCTCAGTCCCAGCCTTGAGGACGGTGCCCTTTCTAAACAGTTGAGTTGGCTTCAAGACATAACAGGATACGATGCTTTGCATACTAGTCCTTTTTTCCTCCTCCCAGGAGAAAACATGACATTTAAAGGGGACCTCCCACTCTGAAGGGGAAAGGTGGCAAAAATGAATGGCTTGCCCTCATTAGAAAATGGAGCACTCCTTTGGCACCAGCTAGGATGGAGTGATTTGGTGTCATGCACAGGTGTACAATTTGGAGGGTGGCAGTCTCCCCTCTTCTGTTTGTTCCCTCACTCCATCATTGGGAAGACCCATAGCTCTGTTTACTGTGAAGTAATAAGGGTAACCCTAGCCAATGCCTTTGAAACACTTCTTTATCTACCTCTGTATTTATATCTATGCACACACATACTCAGCTGGATTGTCAATATGCACTGGGAAAGCATAAAAAGGCCCACAGGAATAGCTCAGTTGGTAGAGCATGAGACTCTTAACCCTAGGGTCGTGGGTTCAAGCTCTACACTGGGCAAAAGATTGGGCAGGGGGTTATAACAATAATAATTTATTATTTATACCCCGCCCATCATTTGTGCCTGGACTATGGTCAACTCTATTGAGGGTTAGGTTAGTTTCCACTTTTGAAACCATGGTTTGAAGTTGGTATGTTTGAAAAGATCCATAGTTTGTCGTACCAGATTGCATGTCGGACCACAGTTGAGGAAAAAGAAAAAGCTTCTGAACGCTGCCTCACAAAAGTGCACAGGAGAAGAGACGACACAGTTTAGTATGACTTGTGAATGTGACCAGTGTAATACATTGTCCCAAGATGCATTTGTTCTGGCTGTGAAACTGATATAAGAAGGGAGAAGAAAAAAGGAGGCCAGTGATCAGTGTGTGTGTGTGTGTGTGTGTGTGTGTGGGAGAGAGAGAGAGAGAGAGAGAGAGAGAGAGAGAGAGAGAAATTCATACATGGAAAATTGTCCTACCATATATACTTATGATTTTTAAAAAGCTGCCATTTGTTCTATTGTTTTTGTAACCCATTTTGGTTTTAACTCATTGAAAACTGGGGCGTATACGGCATGTAGAAAACAAGTAATTACAAAGTGCTTTGAGTGACCGAAGACCATAATAGGGTAAAGATCAAACCTGAGCTAATGGGAGAATGAATGATGAAGAGACTGATTTTAAAATGAATATACAGAGGGTAAAATAGGAACCGGATGTAGCAGCACGGTTTGTATCCAGGAAGCTGCGGAAAGCACCACTGATTTCTGTTGCTATTCTGAATGTTCCACTAATGAGGATAATGCTGGGACTAGCCTGGATTAAAGAGTTTTGATCCAGATCTGGCAATAATGCTCCCACTGTTCTGTTGACAGGCACTTAGGAAGGAAACATCAGGCTGCAAACATACTTTATGTTCCTCTTCCAGTAGAGTTATCATTGCATCTGGAATGATGGAATAATATATTTCATGGTGTTTCTTTACTGCACAATAGATATCAACATACCCAGATCTAGCTACACACGTTTCTTTTATTGGGACAGATAGCAGTTTCTAGTATTAGAGAAGTTTTCCTTGGGGAAGTAGAGCAAGGGGAAGGATTATTCCTACCCGGTCTCCCCTCACCATTCACTCAGGCTGTGGGCAGAGACAGACTGCAACCCCCAGACCAGCTCGTATCAAATCCACTTGACTGTGGGTTGCGAAATGAATCATTCAATTCAATCCAGTTCATAGCAGAACAGCAGATCAGACCATTTTAGACTCTAAGTATGACAGATTCCTTTTCCATCCCTCTACACCCCTACAGTTGCTGGGCTTTGGGGTACATCTCCTTTTTGCTCATTCTCTCTCCTCTCATCCAGCAGTGATGTATGGAAGTGAGAGCTGGACCATAAAGAAGGCTGATCGCCGAAGAATTGATGCTTTTGAATTATGGTGCTGGAGGAGACTCTTGAGAGTCCCATGGACTGCAAGAAGATCAAACCTATCCATTCTGAAGGAGATCAGCTCTGAGTGCTCACTGGAAGGACAGATCCTGAAGCTGAGACTCCAGTACTTTGGCTCCTCATGAAAAGAGAAGACTCCCTGGAAAAGACCCTGATGCTGGGAAAGATGGAGGGCACAAGGAGAAGGGGACGACAGAGGACAAGATGGTTGGACAGTGTTCTCAAAGCTACCAGCATGAGTTTGACCAAACTGCGGGAGGCAGTGGAAGACAGGAGTGCCTGGCGTGCTCTGGTCCATGGGGTCACGAAGAGTCGGACATGACTAAACGACTAAACAACAACAACTCTCCTAGTTTCCTGTTACCTTTCACATTGCTGGCCATTTAACCCTGGAATTAATTTCTTCCTTTCTTTGGGGCTACAGGCAGAGTTCCTAGCTATGGTAATGAGTGCTGTCTGGCAGAAGTGCTTGAAGGAAATAAAAATATGAGGGATCAGAACTTCGTTAAGAGGATAAGGCTCTGAGGACCACGTTATTTCCAGGAGGAATGACATCTGTGAAGAAGCCCCCAGCTGAAGTTTAATATATTACTTTAAAAACAAATCTGTACAAAAAGTCATGACTTCATTTGTCTGATCCATAAATCTGCTGCCTGAAGAGGAAGAACAAAGCAGGGATGTGACTGGAGCCTGGGAAGAAGATTTCAAAGTACTTAGGCGTTTTGCTAACAAGAAAAAAGAAGTAGTTGAGCAAATTGGCACGCTAGTTTTTTCAGTCATATTCTAAATTACCTCCCGTAACTGTTGTCCAAATTGTTCCCTGGCAGGTTTTCGTTTATTTCTTTGGCACTCGTCCAAAAGCATAGCTATTCTTAAGTAGTTAAGGTTGCAGTCCTACACACTTATCTTGGGAGGAATTTTCATTTAACTCAACAGGACTTATTTGTTTATGAGTAGAGCTCCATAGATTGCCTTGCAAATCTACGTGTCTGAATTGCATCACTTCAGAGAACAGGTATGCATTGGAATCAAACTCTATATATGGATGTATGTGGGATCAGGTAGCCAGTGTGGTGCAGTGGTTAGAGTGCTGGACTGGGACCTGGGAGACCAGGGTTCAAATCCCCACTCAGCCATGAAGCTTTGGCCTTGGGCCAGACACAATCTCACAGGGTTGTTGTGAAGAGATAATGGAGAGGGAGGAGACCCTAATCACACCAGCTTGAGCTCCTTGGAGGAAAAGTGGGATATGAATGTTATAAATACATAAATATTGTCCCTTCATTACAAACATTCAAGCAGACAGAAAATAAGCATGTTGGGGGACATGGCTGGGCTAGGATATTGTCCCCTAACATCAGGGGTCAGCAAACTTTTTTAGCAGGGGGGCGGTCCACTGTCCCTCAGACCTTGTGTGGGGCCGGACTATTTTTTTTGGGGGGGGTGGAAATGAATGAATTCCTATGCCCCACAAATACCCCAGAGATGCATTTTAAATAAAAGCACACATTCTACTCATGTAAAAACACCAGGCAGGCCCCACAAATACCCCAGAGAAGCATTTTAAATAAAAGGACACATTCTACTCATGTAAAAACACACTGATTCCCGGACCACCCGCAGGCTGGATTTAGAAGGTGATTGGGCCGGATCCGGCCCCTGGGCCTTAGTTTGCCTACCCATGCCTAACATCTAAGGATGGTTTACACCAGAGGTGAGGAACCTTTCTGCATTCCTTTCTGGGCAACCTTGTAAGGGCTACAGAGCCATTGTGAGTAAGGCCAGAAGTGAACAGAACAACGCATATAAATTTGGCTTTTGTACGGCAGGATAGGTTCTACTCACAGAAAGAAAAAGATAAAAGAAAGAGGTGTCATCAGAGTTCAAAGACACATTCCAACTGGGCAAAAAAACCCACGTGAAGCCTTCGTGATTCCTGAATATGAAACCTGCAACACAGATATGTTCTGTTTTCATCATCCCTTAAGAAAAATATCTTACTGTCATCTAGTGGGCTTTCATCCTTTTTGTATCCACTTTCTATACTGTCATTTACTTGTCTTCAGGGTGAATGTCACTGTGGTTTAGGTGACCTTTTTTTAACCTGGTTTCAAAATGTACAGGGCGAAATCATCTGTCATCTCTCAACTACCTTGTAAGACTGAAACTTGCATTTAAAAATACATCTCTATCCCAACCCGCAAGGCACTCCTTTGGCAGGAGCTATGTCATCTTCGATCCTTTCCTTGCGCTTCTTTCAAATAAGATTGACATGAGAAGAATGGTTCTTTTTTGTAAAGTCAGATTCCACCTATCTACATAATGTTCTTTTAAAATATTCATAACTCTGATCATTCCCCAATCCTATCTCACCTGGACCGTACAAAATGGAATGTTCTCCTGATCAAAGAATAAATTAAAAATCACTCAAGTTCCCACTACATGTATAAAGCAACAGGCTCAGGCTTTGAAGTATTTGAAAAGACACCGGCAATTTTTGAGGAGGTAGTTTCCGTGGTGTTCAAGAGATGTGTTACCTCCTGAAAACAGAAAAGGCCTCCTAGCGCCAATTCACAAGCCTTGCTTCCCACCATGAAGTGAGCATCTGTTAATCACAGTGGATATACTGGTGCTAACTGTTCATAGGCTCAATGGATAATTTTGGACTTCAGTGAGTGGCATGGCCAAAATGGGTTTCTTCTGTGCAAATGACTACCTGAAAATTGCATTGTATATTCCATGCCAGTGTTTGGAGCTCAGCTCCATATTCCATGACTGTTTATATTTCCTGTACTTTTGTACAGCAGGCTACGTTCCAGAGAAAAGCAAGGACACATTCCAACACTTTAAAATATTCAGAAGTGGCGATCCACATGGGGCTGTCCTTCAAGACAGTCAGGAAGCTGTAGCCAGTGCAAAATATGACTGCCAGACTAGTGAGTGGGACAGCATAATGGGACCATGTGTCACTAATCCTGAGCTTGGATAGCTCAATTGGTAGAGACTCTCAATCGTGAGGCTGGAGCCCCACGTTGGGTAAGAGATTCCTGCATTGGTTGAACTAGAGGACCCTCATGGTCCCTTCCTACTCTATAGTTCTATGATTCTATGAAAGCACTCCACTGGCCGCCAAGGAGTTACTGTGTCCAACGGAAGGGTTAATACTGTCAACATGCAGAGGGCCAGGAGGCCAGCTAGCTAGCCCCAACTGAGCCATTCCCTTCCAGTCATCCCGCTGTGAAGGCCATCGGCCTCTGCCCAACATAAATCAGTGATCCGGGCTTCAAAGCCAGGGCACACTATCGGCAGAGCGAACTGCGCACACAGAATAGGTGTGAGGCTTGTGGAAGCATACTACAACTACAGATTTATTAATCATAAATCAGGACAAAGAAACATGTCATCTCTCTCTCGTCATCTCAGAGAGAACAGGAAAAGCAAAAGCTATACACAACGGAAGTTCCCAGCAAGCTATGCTGGAATGTAAACAGACATGTGACATGCAACAATTCCACACATCTGCTCCTTAAGGTGGAATGGAAATGTCAACAAATACTAGCATACAAAGCTCTAAGGGGCTTGGGACTCAGAAATACCTGAAAAATTGCCTCCTCCAATATCAGCCATATGGATGGTGCCACCCAGCCAGTTGTAACCCATGGCAGGGGTTTCTCACTGGTGGCTCCCCTCATACAGAATGCCCCCCCCCAATAGTGAGGTGCACCTGTCTTCATCGCCATTAATTGGTTTCAAACCTTATGTCTGGCATTCACCACAGCCAAGGTGTGAAATTCAGCCTTGGGGATTTTAAACTTGGGGATTTTAAAGAGAGCCAGTGTGGTGTAGTGGTTAAGAGCGGTATTCTCGTAATCTGGGGAACTGGGTTCGTGTCTCCGCTCCTCCACATGCAGCTGCTGGGTGACCTTGGGCCAGTCACACTTCTTTGAAGTCTCTCAGCCCTACTCACCTCACAGAGTGTTTGTTGTGGGGGAGGAAGGGAAAGGAGAATGTTAGCCGCTTTGAGACTCCTGAAGGGGAGTGAAAGGCGGGATATCAAATCCAAACTCCTCCTCTTCTTCTTCTTCTTCTTCTTCTTCTTCTTCTTCTTACAGCACTGCTGTTCGATGGGCAAATAAAGCCATTTTGTCAGAAGTTAGTTCTGGAATGTATTGCCCCATACGATACAGTAAATCAGCCCGCCATTTTTTCTCGTGGCTTCTTATCAGCTCCATGCTCAAGTCCTCTTCCCACAATCATTTCCTGTGTAAAAAGCACCATGCTTTTGAGGAGGAGCACTCTCTTCCACAAGTTGGAGGGCAGACATCTGAAAAGGAGAGTCTCCTTTTATGCATGGAGTCTCCCTCCATGATTAAGAACCCCGGAAAACCCCACTCTCCCTTCTTGCATGCATGAGCAGAATGCCTGAAGGCAGTTTTGGAGAATTCACCGCACAGTTGTAGCATAGCAACAGGTACCCTTCAAACCTTTCAGTAGCGTTCTGGGACTGTTTCCCAAGGAGTCATCCTGAAGCAGCTGAGTGGACAGTTATGTGAATCCTTATCACGAAATGCCCTGTTGGGGGTGAGACTTTCATGGGAGAAGGACCCAAGTGATTGACCCTGTCCATGTGTTTGCAGGAATTTAAAAATGTTAAACTATGGGATAAGCCCATGGAAAAGAGGCTCCCACAGTCATGTTTAAAGATTTCACAGCTAGACTGAAACCCCTTTGACATTTTCTGACTCCAGGATTCTGTACAAGGGATGGTTCCCATTTAACATTTTGTACTCAGGTAGAGATGTCCCAATGCAAAATACATGAGCCTCTTGTTAAGTTAGTGTGATGTGATGTGCGTGAATAAAATATGGAGAGTCTCCCTTTAAAATATTCAGAAGTGGCAATCCAGAAAGATTCAGACAAAGCTTCCAAGTATTTCAGGACACGAACCTAATTTTACACATGCATGAGCTTCACACTTAATGCTCAACTTTTATATTTAATTTTCAGGAAGCTATACCAAGGATAATGGTTTGAACCTAGAATGGGACCCATCTCACAGGTTACAAAATATGAAGACATCGCTTCTACATAGAAGTGTGGGCAAGTCCCATAATGTATGACAGTGCTGCACCCATGAAATTGCACACCCTGCACAGGCAAAAGAGGCCTGTTCTGATCATCTACAGGTGGGATCCAAACAGATTATTACACCCATGTTACTTGGGTGCAAGAGCTCTGGGTCTGGAACTCTGAGATTACATTGCATTCAGCAGCTGTAGGCTGTGTGCACATGGCATAGTATTTTTTATTTTTTTTTACCTTGTATTCTAGAATTGATGCAGACCAAGGACTTGTTTTTTTCTACATGGTCCACAGTCTTGATCTATTGCATATCTTTTGCCCCTAGAAAGCACTTCTTGGGAAACTGGTTTCATTAAAAAAAATAACCTCATTGCAGTTTGATTCTGTATTACGCCACAGTGTGTCCATTTGAAAACAGACATAGGCAATCCCTGACCATTGTGGGGAGGGGTATACCCAAACCTGCCCTATGAAGTTGTGGGTTAATGTATGCAATACTGTCCAACTTTTCCAGATAAATAACAGGGACACACGTCTTCTGGCATATTCTCCTGGGTGACTCATGTGGCCTGTGCCGTGATTTCACCCTACAAAAAATGCTTTTCTCAGGTCAAGATTGTGGCATGTGAGATCGCAGTACCCAAAATGGCTGTTGCGATCTGCCACAAAAAACCGGGATGTCCTGTTTTTTCTGTGACATTTGACAGGTATGTGTATGCTAGGATCTCAATCACCACTTCCTTAATAAATTTAAAAAATAATAAAATTGTCCAGTAGCACCTTAGAGACCAATTAGGTTTGTTCTGGGTGTAAGCTTTCGTGTGCGCACCAACACGGCTACCTACCTGAGTCTAGAACCACTTCCTTATTTATTCTTCATGGGGCATGTTAAGAGGTTTGTGGGGAAGGAGTGGAAAACCTCATCCAAAGGAAGATTTCAAATGCATATCAAGTAACCACACTTTGCGGATGGCAGGATCTAGAATCAATCGAGATTGGAAGCAGCATGTTGAAGATGAGCACGAGTGATTCAGGATTGAGGAAAAACTACATTTTTCTGCTACAAATGGGTTGCTGTTTGTCATAACTAAATACATTTCCAAGAGTGTGGTGGTGCTGGTGGTGCTTGGAGAGAGAGTAAAAAAACTTTTCAAAGTTACAATTCTGGAAAAACAGACTATTCTGCCACCTTTTTTAAAAAAATTAAATTCCAGTGGCCGTTTATTTACCGCAGGTTATTAAATCAGAATTTGACAGCTTCATAAAGGAGTTGAGCTGGAGGTCACCTACATTTCCCCACCAGCTCAGACAAGAAACCATTCGTACAATGGCTTATCTATTCTTCACAGCCCTACAAGCTTAGCTCCAACCCTCAGGCAGAAAATCTGTGTGTTATCTATAACAGTGAATTTGCGCTTTCTTTCTAAGCCACTGCTGCCGTCACCAGCATCCTTTCAGCCACAAAGCAAGACGCAGCAGTACATTCCACACACACAACTAGCTGCAACCTTTCACAGGCATATAGACTTTCCTTCCCTTGGATGTCCCAGGTGGCTACTTCTGATCTAGACTATTTGATTTCAAGGCCAGGGAATACTTATTGTTTAGCTTCCCACACTCTGAATCCCATCTTCACACAGGAGGTCCTGCTTTCTGCAATGCGGAGCTGAACTACGGTATTCCCTACTACAAGGTGCTGTGACGGCCACCAACTTGGGTAATTTTGACAGTGGATCCATCGAATTCATGGAGGACAAGGCTATCAATGGTTACAAGACATTATAGCTATGTATTACCTCTGGTGTCAAAGGCAATATTCAGAGGAATAGGGGGCTAGGGGTGGTGCTATGGTCTAAACCACTAAGCCTCTTGGGCTTGCTGATCAGAAGGTCAGCGGTTCAAATCCCAGTGACAGGGTGAGCTCCCATTGCCCTGTCCCAGCTCCTGCCAACCTAGCAGTTCGAAAGCATGCCAGCGCAAGGAGATAAATAGGTACCACTGCGGTGGGAAGGTAAACGGCGTTTCTGTGCACTCTGTCAGTATATGGAAACATCACCGCTGCAGACAGCCAGATTGTTGACATCACATGATGTGCCTATCTGTGGGAAAGAAGAATTTCCCAGGATGTTCACAGGCTGGATAAGTCTTTGTGAAGAGTGTAACTTGAAACCTTCCGACTGTGCATGTTCAGGAAGTTTGTCAGACGTGCTAGAAGAACTGAACTGAAAGGACGTGTTTTTCTCTAGTGCTATAATGTCAGAAATAAACATCATGTAAATAGATTTCTGACTTATTTTCTTTCCCCTGCGGAAGCAGGAGGGAGGGGTTGTGCATTTTGCCCATGCTTGGGAAAATGTCGTCTATCAAAATCTCCCTGGTCTATCTGGATATCAGCCAGAGGAGGTTACCGGTAAGCAAGCTCCGAGGACAGTGAGAGGGGCCAGCCTCCATGGAGGGGGGCTTGCAAATCAACACACTCTTGTTTCCATCATGGTGTTCCGTTGCGCCAGAAACGGTTTAGTCATGCTGGTCGCATGACCCAGAAAGCTGTCTGTGGACAAACGCAAGCTCCCTCGGCCTGAAAGTGAGATGAGCGCCGCAACCCCATAGTCACCTTTGACAGGACGTAACCATCCAGGGGTCCTTTACCTTTACCTTTATGTCTCTGAATACCAGTTCCTGGGAATCGCAAGTGTAGAGAACACTTCCACAGACAATTTTGTTTCAGTCCACATTCAAAACTGAATCTACTTAATTAAAACTCCCTGAAGCAATATACAAAATGAAATGTAGCCATCTGTTGAGATTCTCTATTCACTGAATTTTGCAACACATTTCGCCAACCATGTATACAAAAATGCATGAACAGTGTTTCCCAAACTTGGGTCTGCGGCTGTTTTTGGACTACAACTCCCAACATCCCTAACTAGCATCAGGGATGATGAGAACTGTAGTCCAAAAACAGCTGCAGACCCAAGTCTGGGAAACACCCTACTAGGATATGCACACAATAATGATAATGCAAAAAATATATTTATTGGGGAAAACAGATCGCAGAAATGTGTATATTTGACAACATTGCATACATAATTGTGTATATCAGAAGAAATTCACACTAAAATGCTAATGACTTTTCATGAGGACTTCTCTTTTTTTAAAAAAAAAAAGCAAACTGATGTAGGAATGTGGAAAACTGATCTTAAAACTAGAAAAACAAGATACAGAAATTGAAATTGATAGATTCCCATACCTTATGGGTCTAAGGAAAGATTCTCCTGGCTCAACCACAAAGTCTGTTGGACAATGGTAGGCTGATCACTGGTGGAGGAACGGGAGTGTGGAGGGAGTGGACCGCCCCCAACACCACTTTTCCAGTAGGGTGCCATTGCAGCGCCCGCCCCCCCCCGACAAGCGCTGTGGACCCCCGCGCGCTCCGGGTGCCACGCCCCCACAGGCGATGCGCCCTGCCCCCTCCTGCTCTACACTCCCAGTAGCGGAGCATACAGCTTCGCCACTGAGGCTGATACAACCTAGCTCAAAATGTGCCACAAGTCTAAAACAGCATCTCAGTGTGCAGCGGTGCAAAGTTTTGTGCGACACTGAAGAGACTCATCACGTGCATCAGGAGAAGCCACAAGGCCCAGGGAGGCCCATCACCATGGCAAGGAGGCCTGCCCCATCCCAGTATTCTTTGAGGGGGCTGGGCTGTCCTCAGCCCCATAGAGTTGGAGCCTATGTCAGTATACATGCATGCAAGCGGCTCCATAGGATGGAAGGCATCAAGGCAAGCCACATACTGTATGGCAAATCAAGTGCATGTAAAACACATATATGCCCTATGTTGCGCTTAGAGGACATTAGCCCCTTTTCACATCTGGGGGCAACCGAGGCATGGCAATGTGACCAGCTCTAGATTGGTCAGAGCATTCATGAATAGAAATAACAATTAGGTAGCAAATAAAAGAAGGTACATGGGTGGTGCTGTGGGTTAAACCACTGAGCCTAGGGCTTGCCGATCAGAAGGTTGGCGGTTCGAATACCCGCAACGGGGTTAGCTCCTGTTGCTCGGTCCCTGCTCCTGTCAACATAGCAGTTCGAAAGCACATCAAAGTGCAAGTAGATCAATAGGTACCGCTCCGGTGGGAAGGTAAACGGTGTTTCCATGCGCTGCTCTTGTTTGCCAGAAGCGGCTTAGTCATGCTGGCCACATGACCCCGAAGCTGTACGCCGGCTCCCTTAGCCAATAAAGCGAGATGAGTGCCGCAACCCCAGAGTCGGCCACAACTGGACCTAATGGTCAGGGGTCCCTTTACCTTTACCTTTAGCAAATAGAGTCTCTGGTTATATGTAAAGGGATCATCGCTGCGCAATAACAGCTTTGGCCTCCCACCACACTTCAGCATAAGAACCAGAAATTAAGAACGCTTCACAAAAAAGCAGATTTCTCACACACACCACTCCTCACATTCTTATTATGCTACTGTCTCTCTAGGAGAAGTTAATCCCTCCATTATTTAGACAACAATAAGTTATCGGCTAACTAGCCAATACAATACGTCCTATGAAAGAAGTGTTTCTCTCAGCCCTTTGTTAGGTTTCTGTCAGGATTTACACTGACCAAAAAAAAACCCCTAAAGGCAAGACTAGAGAAAGTGTCTTTCTGAGGCTTATTTACTTCGAAATATTGAAGCAGTATTTACCGTAGAGTGTAGGAGCAAACCAAAAGCACAGTAACGGTAGCTGTGATAAGCAAAAATGCATTTCAAAAGCTTTCAAAGAAAACTTACCCAAGTGATCATTCTGAGCTGGTGGAGTAGAGAAGAAATCAAGATACTGTAGTAAGGAAGGAAGCTTCCTGCCCCAGTGAAGTATTGGTGGGAGAACCTACACGCTACAGTGGTACCTCAGGTTACATACGCTTCAGGTTACATACGCTTCAGGTTACAGACTCCACTAACCCAGAAATAGGGCTTCAGGTTAAGAACTTTGCTTCAGGATGAGAACAGAAATCGTGCTCTGGCTGCGTGGCAGCAGCAGGAGGCCTCATTAGCTAAAGTGGTGCTTCAGGTTAAGAACAGTTTCAGGTTAAGTACGGACCTCCGGAACGAATTAAGTACTTAACCTGAGGTACCACTGTATATGAAATCCCTATATATTCATATGATATTTAAATGGCAACTCTGTGGGGGTTAATGAGAGGAGCTAAGTTCATTCAGCGTTCCTAAAACAATGGACTATTAACATTACCAAAATTCCTGGCTGTGATCTGACAGCAAAATTTGTTTCCTGGCATCTCCCAAACCATAGATTTCCTTTCACGTTCCAGTACATAACACTGGAAAACTCCCTTCCTTTGACCCCCATTGTCTTTCAAGACTACTTTGGATTCTAGTGACACCCCAAAACATTCCACCCCATCTTCTCTCACATACATCATAAGCAGAAAATTCTAACAAGGCTACCTTTACTAGCTAGGCTTCCTCTGAACTCCTTATCTGAAGCACCTGTCCTGAGTTTGTGAATGCACTACAGGTGCGTGTTGTAAAGCCAATCTCGTTTGCAGCTCCCAAACTCTGATTTGACAGAAAGATCAGATAGCTACAAACATACGTAAAAGAGCAGAGACAGAAAGTAATGAGATTGAATCAAATTTAAGATGAGAATCAATCTATCCCATCTTTTCATACTTCCCTTAATAAATTCTACTACTATGATAGATAAGTAACAGTAATAATGGAAGATCTATTAGGCAGGCTGCTTGCATAGCAGGAGTCTTACAAGGCTCAGGGAAGTGCAGGATGTCGCAATAAGAATATTTATGCAGGGGTGCATAGGCTTCTGGGACAAAAAATGAATATATTTTTCTCAAAAATCAATCATCATTGTTATCAGCTTGCCTATTCGCACCTCTCTTCTGCCCGTAATTTGTGTCAAAATTGAACCAGGGCAACCCTATTTTCCAAGATCAAGAATCACTCACTCACTTAGTATGGAAAGAAAAGCACCTCTCAGTCTTTGCTAGGTGACTTTTCTTTACCACAGAACAAGTAACAGTAAAATGTTCAGAGGAATTCAGAAGCAGGTTGTACACAGGCAGGATTTGCAGTGGAAGCCCAGAATCAAACTAGTCTAAATAAAAACAAAAACAAAACAGAAAAATATATATGGGGGAACAGAGAGAGGAAAAAACCAGAGTGTTGTCTCTCAAAGGTAGATCTTTTCTTTAAAATATAATGAAATAATATAGAAATGAAATAATAATAATAATAATAATAATAATAATAATAATAATAGATCTTAACATTTGTCTCACACATAAAATGGTGGACCCTCCCAGCTCTCACCTGGGAGCTTTCCTTCCTTCTCCCAGTCTCTCAGCCTGGGAGTTCTTCCCTTCCCTTTGGGATTCTTCTACCAACCTTCCATCACTTCCTGTGTGTGTAATCCTGAGATCCAGCTCTTCTCAATCTGCCGTCCTCACAAACAATTGCAGGCTGCTTGGCTTTGATCTCTCACACATCAGCCCCTAGCTTTCCTGCTCTCCTCACACCCCAGCCCACTTAGTGGAGGAAATAAGGGTAAGTCACTTCCATCTATCACTTATGTCTTCTTGAGCCATCTTAGCACCTATTGAGACACTTCTGCTGAATCTCATTGGCAATCAATAGTCTTTTGCCAGGTCTTAAGAGGTATTGCCTCAAGGTACCCCACAGTGATTGCTCTAAAATGGGGAAAAAAATCAAGAATCATAAAGCAGTATGGGGGGAAAGTCAAGAAACATAGAGCGGTATGGGAGCCCAAGAGACCATCTTACACCAAACCACAGCAGAAGCTGAAAACATTGGCAATCTACTAGTGCAGGCATCCCCAAACTCGGCCTTCCAGATATTTTGGGACTACAGCTCCCATCATCCTTAGCTAACAGGACCAGTGGTCAGGGATGATGGGAATTGTACTCCCAAAACATCTGGAGGGCCAAGTTTGGGGATGCCTGTACAAGTGCGTGTATTTGTGATGCCCAAGGGAACAGCTTTAGCTGCCACCAGCTTGTAAAAGGAAGTAAGAACCCAAAGGAGGTGGGCTGGGAAGGGGAGAAATGTACAGGAATGGGAACATTTAAAGAATACAGTTTTGAAAACATGGCAGCTTTAGCTTAAATAGGGCAGCTGGAAAATGTGGTACAAACTCAGGTGCACCAATAAAGGTTTGGAAGGAAAAAAGACAAGCAAGGCAGAGACACTGTGTCTGCTCAACTTTCTCCGTTGATTGGCTGTTTCGGGAATGCCACTGGACTGTTTGCTGTTTGTATTGGGCCCAGACTGGCATTTGTCCAGTTAGACCATCTGACTACTCTCTAGTGTTGCCTTTGGGACTGTGTGCCCTATCAGGACTTACCTCTGCGAATGCCAAAGTTCAGGACACCTGAGCTCTTGAGAAAGGACTCCTCACAGACTTGGCTGCTAAATGGACACATTGCTGCTGACACTCTGCAGAACGCTGTCACATTAATGAGGTCTTCCCTTTAATTTTCCATAAAATATGGGAAAGCTGTATCTGATCATAAGGACTTGCTACTTGGTTGTTTTTGTCAGAGAAGGTCATTGCTCCTCCAAGTCACCCTACTTCCTATGCACTGTTTCCATAGCCTGGTGTTTCTCAGACTTGGGGCTCCAGCTGGGTTTTTTTGGACTACAACTCCCATCATCCCTAGCTACCAGGACCAGTGGTCTGGGATGATGGGAACTGTAGTCCCAAATAAGCTGGAGGCCCAGTTTTGGGAGACCCTGCTGTGGCCCTTCCTTCATCGCCTTTTGTGGAAGCGCTTCTGTGACTTCTCTCAGATGGGCCACTCTATCAATCCACATCAGGCCTACACAGCTTGTGATCCATCAAGCCCAACACAGCCTACCAGCCTACTGGGTGTTTGTAAGCTTTTCTGTTTTTTATTGCTTGCTTGGGACTTCGCAAACTGAGGACGGGCCAT